CGGGAAGTCTTCCTTGTTGGCCTGCCTGTGTAAGGCAGAGGGGTAGGTTTGCCTACCTTGTGGAGCCCCAGGGATTCTCCTAGCGCTGCAGGAGATGAGGCTGGCTTCCTTTCCCCCTTCAGTGCCCAGTGCGGGCCGGTACCGGGAGGGCGAAACCCCCTTGGCTGGTCAGGGGAAGCGGTGGACCGCCGTTCAGAGGGGTCTGTCCGGTTCTGGGGATCAGGCATTTGGCAGGAAGGTACTACAAGCTGTGGTCCCGCCCTAATTGGTAAGTTCTTGGTTATCCTCTCGTGATGCTGTCCTGGAAGACGTTATGGGAAATTCAGAGTTAGGACTTACCGGTAACTCTATTTCCATTAGTCTTCCAGGACAGCAACTGCCCGCCCATTGATGCTTGTAGTGTTAATGTGATGTAGTGGTATTGCCTGTTTGTGCCTTGTCTTTTTCCAGCTTGCCTTCGGTTCTCGTGATGACTGAGGGAGTGGAGGAGAGGAGGGTCTTTTAAACAGATTAAGTGACGTGTTTCCTGTGTGTGGGGGAGGAGATTCCATCTCGTGTTGCTGTCCTGGAAGACTAATGGAAATAGAGTTACCGGTAAGTCCTAACTCTGAATTTCCTGACCACGTCCTGTCTGCTGTGTTTGGGGTGCCACTAACAAATAATGGCCTTGCAAGTGCGACACATGCTTTTCATGTTCATGCGTACGGCTAGTGTGAATGGGAGCTAAGTGCGCCTTCATTCATATTCCCCTCTGGTGTGTTTACAATTATTTGCATTTCCACCCACACTGATGCATTGTTTTTACTGGTGAGAGCCAGCGTTCCCCTCATTGTTACTTTGTACATTCCTAAAATATCAACCACCTATACCATGACATAAATAACATTTTTTTTAACGTTGTTTACCTTTTGCATTCAGCAAGTGTTGTTTATTGCAAAAATACAATGCTGGAGTTCAAATGTCATGCAAACGTGATATTATTGCATGAGCTCTTTTCAGAAAACGGGTCATGTGACACTGTTAGTACATGCCGTAAATGTTATTGAATTGACCCCACAGCCATTACTGAAATGTATGCATGTAGTCAGGAAGTGGCTTCGATGAAGCTGCAGTAGATCAGCGGTATTACAATAACACAAAGGATCTGTATAGATTGAAACAGTATTTTATTTTAAAAAAAACAAGTGGTAATTGTTTATGATACACTGAGCTTTAGCAAACTAAATGTCATTCAGTTAGAAACCATTTACACACTTGTGTTGCTGGTAACTCGTGCAGTGCCATTCACAATAAATGAATGCACCGCTAAAGCTCACGTGTGCTGTGAACAAGTGCAGACACCACCTATGTTTTTGTGCATTTAGGTGCATTGCAGACTAATCATTTTCAATGGGCTGCCTAATGCAGTGCAAGTTAACACAAAGTGTTGTGGTGTAATGATGATGATTAAAGCTTTACCTCCTGGACCTCTTTTTTATGATAAACATATTTTGTGTACTAAAGGTAAACAAAATGCAGCATTGAATATTTGTAGTCTTCGCCAGTGATGGCAAACAATGATGTCATCCATTTATAAATAGATGCTGGTAGAAATCTATGTCCGGAGTGTGTTATACACATTGCTGGTACCTGACATAGCTGATGCTGGCTGCAGGTCTACAGTCACTCAGTGTTTCTGAGGATTACCAGTGCTGGATGTACATTTGCATGCCACAGCCCCATTACTCACCAGTTAGGCCTTGTTCACACCAAATGCAGAGCAGATCTGCATGAGCTTCTGCACACGCAGTGCAGTGGGTTGTGCCGCGTTTTTTTATGCTTTCCGGCCCGTTTTTTTCCCCCCGTTTAAAATGGTCTTTCCGTGAGTTCCAGGGCATTTGCATGCGTTTTTGATGCATTTGCATGCGTTCCAGAGCAGGTAAAATAGGGCCTACTGCAGTTTTTTTACCTGCTCTGTAACTGAACGCTGCGATGTGAACTGGAGCTAAAAATACAATTGGAATACATTGGACGCAGTGTTGTCCGGTCTGTAACTGCTCTGCACCTGGAACGCACTTGGTGTGAACAAGGCCTTAGAATCAAATATACTGTAACATTTTAATGCAATGATAAATGTAATGTGTGTGTTGGACCTCCTTGTCCCCTTACGGAAACCCCCAAATACTAGAGATTCAACGATACCGGCATCCCGGGGTAGCGTAGGCTCCGCTTCATGATTGCTTGGGAAGTCGGCTTCAGATCTGCCACCTGGCTTCCTGATTGGCCAGGAAGCCGACTCCATGCTCCCTCGCAGCACTGCAGTTCCAGTATCAGGTGAAGTATCTGAGCATTTGGGCCAGTACTTGTACTGGCCCAAATACCCTCTATCGATATTTGTGCATCCCCACCAAATACGCAAAAGGTTGCTTACCATAAATCAACATCATTGCATGGTATGGTCCAACTTCATGACCTTTTTTTGGTCGGCTTGCTTAAGCAACAGGCTCTACTCTCAGCTGATTTGTGCACTATTACTGACTCTTGAGAACTGGTTGGCGATATGGTACTACTACAGGTTGACTTTCCCTGGGGCTACATGTGTGATTTTTATTCTCTGAGACTAAAAAAAATCTCCAGTGCAAATAAATTGCAGCTTTGGGAGATGAATTACTCAGGCAACCGACTCAAAGCTCACATTAAAATTAGTGTGATACAAAAAACAATCGCATAATATTTTAGTAGCGGGATCAAGTGAAAAGGCCTTCCCCTTAAAGTAGAACTGTAGCCAGGCTATGGGCAATTACATACCTTCATTTTTTTTATAACATGCAGTAACTAGACTTTAAAACAAGACCTCATTAACCTCTGTAGCTGCAGGCACTTAGGAGCAAATCATCCTCAAAGTTGCAGCCAAAGCTTCTCAGTTTCAATTTTGCTTGATGTCATTAGCTTTGCTCCCCCTGCTAGCAGTGAGCTGGCAGCCTGGCAGCATTCTATTCTCTAAATATAAACAGAGAGCAGGCACAAAGGAAGAGACTTGAAGGACTTTGCTGCACCTCCAACTTTTTTTTTATAGTTATGGATAAAGTAGGGAAGGACTAGAACCCATGGCCAGTTTTACCTACTGTTTGCCCCAAATGGAGAGATCCACCATCTATATTTGTCCTGATGATCCTTGTAACTGGGATGGAAAGTAAAAGGGAATCCAAAATTGTGTGGTTGTCACCAGAATAAGTGGCAGGGAGAAATTTTCCAATCAAGACACCTGTTCTGGTAACAACTGTTTAAAGGGAGAGTGCACCGGTAGAATTCCCAGCATATTAGGACAGTGTGACCAACCCCTCCAGCGCTGCAAAGTCCACTCTCACCTATATCACTGCCATCTTCACCCAGTCTTCTTCCAGGTACAGCGCTTTTGGCCCCTTGATTGGCTGGCTGGCATGATGCAACTGCCATACATGAGCTACTGAATCCCAGAATACTGGGTCTGTGCACTGAGCTACGTGTGCATGGCTCAGTGCATATAATAAAATAAAATTGCTGACAGGCAGCTAAAAGATTTACTTAAAAAGTTTTGTCTGCCAAAAAAAAAAAACTGCCTGTCAGCAATGTTTTAAAAATGACACTTCCACTTTAAGGGAGGACTTCATCTTGCTCTGTAGGGGATTTCCTCCTATTTGCTGTGGTGTGTCTGAAACAGGAAGTAATGGGAAATCTCCCTAACAGAACATACACAGCACAAAATACTGACACGGGTTTAACCATTCCATACTCTATCCAATATTGGGGGGAAAAAGCATAGAGAACAAAGCATATTTTGTGTACATGCACAAGTGTGCTACAAGATTACAGTTGTACATTTCTGACAAATGCCTCATTATTTGTGATAGAAACCAACTGTTTGTTTTTTTTTAAAACTCTAATAGGTATTATCTAAAAATGGGGCAATCAGTCTGTGAGGAACAACCACAAATATGTCATCGGATTCCCACATTGACACGCATGCAATACCTGAAAAACGTTGAAATATCATTTAAACAGAAGGATGCGGCTAGGGATGTTCAGATACCAAGTACAAGTACAGATACTTTTCCTGCTCCAAGACTAGACTAGAGAAAAACTCAAACGTTAGGAGGCAGCTGTCATTTTTAGGGAGCATTGGCTACGGTGATTTATGCATCCCTGTTTTAATGTGTGATTATATATAGAACACGCTGATACTATTTTTTCCAGACCAAGTACTCACAGATACAAGTACTGATACATTTTTGTTTATTGTCATGTGACAGTTTTTCTAAAACAATACAGACGAATGATTTCAGGACAGTGGTGGAGCGCCAGGGCCCTCTCCCAGCTGCAACAGCTGCAACCCCGGTAGTTTTTGTGAAAATGCCACCAAGTATCGGCACTGGTATCTGAACATTCCTAGATGCGGCTTTTTCACAGTAAGGGCTAGTTCACACTACAACCAGTGCGTTCTGGCCCGATTTGAATTTTTAAACTGATGCAAAAAGGTTAAGAAGAAGAAATTCATTTCTTTTACATGTTCATAAAAACAGAATGGCTTAGGGCTATTTTCAGGAAGTTGGTTCCCAGGGCTAGTTCACACCACAAACAGTGCAATGACGTCAATGGCACTGCAGCCACGCACCTTGGCCGCAGTGCGATCGCCCGCACCCGAACGCGTGGCACATCAATGCCTGCATTCCGGTGTGGTCAGAAAAATAGTGCAATAGTGACCGCCCCAGACCGGAACGCAAGCATTGATGTGCCATTGACTTAATTGCACACCACACCTCCGTCCGCCCCTGAACGCAGAGAGCTGGCTGGGATGCAATCCAGTGTGTTCCGGCACCAAATGGGTGTGAATTAGCCCTGAGAACAACTTCCTGAAAATAAGCCATTCTGTTTTTATGAACTTGTAAAAGAACACATTTCTTCTTCCTAACCTTTTTGCATCAGTTTAAAAATTCAATTATAAAAGCTATCTGGGAGTTAAAAGTACAGCTACATAACTGTACAAGCTATGATCATCAGTAGAAATCTGAAACTTGTGCATAGTTATCAAATGAAAAACATACAGAACTGATCATGAATGAAGTGGACGGTTACAGTACAAACGCACAATTTTTATGACTGTTCTAACTTGGCTTTCTCAAATTCCAGTGCAATCTTTAAAGCGGTGGCGTTGAGCCCTGTTTGCTGCATGTTGACTATTATAGTCACCACAATACCTTTTGGTGGGATCACTGTCTGACTGTCCCATGACCTGGGATCTTCTTCAGGCATGATTAATAGGACACTACTAGCTCCGACTGCCCCTCCGGTGTGTGAAATGTAATGTTTTTGAAGCTTACACTGCCCATAATCCTGTTTTCTTTCCACAGTTCCCCAACCCATTGCATATTTTCCATCTTTGTCCCAAGACATCTCAGTGTTGGGGACTTGTCTCCACAGCATGGTGATAGTATCTGGTTTAAGGTATCCTGGAAGAATCCCAGTGGTATTTTGGGTCTGGTAACTATAGAGGAGGACATTGCCGAACGTCAGAAGATCACTCACAGTGGATAGGAAACCTCCACCTGCCCATTTGTAGGAGTTATCAACATATGGACTGTTCACCAGGCGCTTCTTGTCATTAAAGCTGTAAAATCTGTAGAAAACAAAGAAAAAAGTATTAGGCCTCAAAAGTCTTCTAACAATGGGAAACACTCATTATCTCCCTCTAACAGGTCTGGATCACCCACAAGGTGACAGCTGCCTATGACCCAGTGAAGGGCCTGGTCTAAACAAACTCTGCTGTGCTACCTTTTGTAGAAGTAACTGACAGGCAGGTAAAGCAGCCAGAACCCTTCTACATGTGCGCAATGTAGCATGGCTGTCTCCCCCCTCCCGGCCTCATCACTTACCTAGCTCCTTCGTTAGACCAGGAGCATTGCAAGCCACTTTAGGATGGAAAGCGGCCAGTAAAATCCCCATTATTCGGCATTCAAGCAACCAGCTCTCTCAAGCAACCGGTAAAAAAAAATTGAGGACATAATACGTGCTCGATTTTTTTGTCGGTTGCTTGATAGACATGAGGACACTAAAAATTTGTATAGTTGCTAACTAAATTCTTTGTTTACATCTTGCTGCCGGATGGGGGCTAGACTGCGCAGTCAGCAGCAGAAGAATGTAAACAATGGGGAGCAATAGTCAGCCTGCTATTGGCTATTGCAAATTGCAATAGCCAAAAGCAAGCTGGCTGTTGCACCCGCCCACTTAGCAGAGGAGCGGACCTGAGCGAGAACCACAGGGGGGTTGCTTGAGAGTCATTATTAACTCTCAACCAACCAAAAACTACACTGCCGTGTGCCGGATAACTGGGAGTTTAGTGTATCAAGGTATCCTGTGCCCCTAATCTGCATACAGTACAGGCAAAGGAGTCATCAGGAATATAGACTTCCAATAACTCCATTAGGAGCACCTGGCACTGTATTCATACTATCACATGGGGGCATGTCAGCCCTTATTGGGACCGTATTAAACTTCAATTAAAAGATGCAAAATCCCACTGGAGGAATCTGTTGCACCTTTTCCATCTGACCACAGAAAATCTGCAGATAATTGTAAAGGTGCCCACACACCTTGCGATAATTATACGATAATTGCGGGAAATCCCGCGATCGTACGATTATCGCAAGGTGTGTGGAAGGCGTGTGACCGTTTTTACCGTACGGTCGCACAACTTTTATCTTAGGAACATGTTCGAAAGCCCGGCGACAATCGTACGATTGTCGGCGGGTGTGTGGCATGTTCGTAAGATAAATGCCGCAAGCGCACACTGCCCGTTCAGCATTGCAGTCATCGGAAGCCCGTCCCTCAGCGGGGCGGGCTTGCGATTATCGCTAGTACGATCTGCCTGTCCAAGATGGGCAGATCGTATGTTTTTTTAATTACCTTACAACCATGGTTGGTTGTAAGGCCTGTGGCCAGCTTAAGGTGTATGGCCAGCTTTAGAGAGGTGTCCGAACACCTGATTTGCATACTGGTTCATGTCCCTGACTCAAAGCATTCAAGCCAGAGGATCAGCACGATAGCCTCCACATTTCTTTCAGCACAAGTTTCCTTTACAGGTCTTCCCTGAGGTTGTTAGACAGAAGGACAACTACTTAATCTGAAGAGAGAATCTGCAAATCTGAACATGAAATACCATCATGAAAAAATGTAAATTAAAAATGACTTTTAGCTAAACTTTACCATAAAGACTCAAAATGTGCACCCACTAAAAATACATTCTAGTTGTTTTGGTACTACTGGCATTACATCTGTGCTCCCTGGGTAGTGTTCCGCAGACCTGGGGAATTACCTACAATTTAAAGAGGTTTTCTACCTGAAAGAGGCCACCACCTAAAGTTGGTGGAGAAAAAAATTCCAGCACAAGGGGCGAAGGGGGTTCTTTACAGTAAAAGCGGTTAAGGTCCTGGAACTCACTGCCATCGGCAGTGATTTCAGCCAAGAGTGTAGATTTGTTCAAGAAACGTTTGGACAATTTCTTGAGGGGCCGTAATATCCAGGGATACCAGTATCCCTAAGGATGAGATGATGCGTGGACCTATATGGGTTGGACTTGATGGACGTATGTCTTTATTCAACCCCAAATACTATGTAACTTTCTCAAGTGAACGTTTCCTTTAGCACCCAGACTCCATCATTGTGAAGGAATGCATTTACACAACATCTGCCAAGCTCTGGCATAAGTATGCCGATATAAACTGTGCACCCATAGTAACTGCTTCTTTGGTCTCTAATGGCCATAGATTGTAAGCTCTCTCAAGCAGGGCCTTCTAAATCCTCCTGTATTGAATTGTATTGTAACTGTACTGTCTCCCTTTACTTTGTAAAGTGCTGCACAAACTACTGGCGCTATATAAATCCTGTATAATAATAATTGTTGAAGTGCCCTGTAACAACTCCCTCTGAACAGCCACAAGACACTACAAGGCTATGGCGGTGGTACACACACAATAATAATAAAAAAAAAGTCACTAGTCCTTGAGCTGGAAAAAGTCCAGAGGAGGGCAACCAAACTTATTAAGGGGTTCGAGGACCTGAACTATGAAACAAGGTTGTTAAAGTGAAATATGTTCTCTTTGGAGGTTAGGAGATTAAGGTGGGACATGATTTTCCTGTATAAACTATTCAAGGGCAACAGCAACATTGTTAACAAACTGTTTACGGTTAGCTCCGTAACAAAGACCAGAGGGCACAACCAAAAATTGGTGGAAATTTTTTTTCAACACACAGGGCGCAAGGGGTTCTTCACAGTTAGAGCGATTAGGGTCTGGGACTCGCTACCGCATGGAGTGATTTCAGCTAAGAGTGTGGAATCATTCAAGAAACTCTTGGACGAGTTCCTCGGAGACCATAACATACAGGGGTACAGGTACGCCTAAGAGCAAAATCCCACATGGACTAATAAACACTCACACACCTGCTCAAACAGAAATGCATACACACAATAGGTTGGACTTGATGGACTTATGTCTTTATTCCTCAACCTCAAATACTATGTAACTATGTAACTAGTTTTATTGCAGAAAACCATGGAAGAGAAATTCCTGATAACAGCCAGCAGGTGTCAGCCAAATGATGTATTTCAATATGTATAAATGCCGAGATTCATATCTCTGATAAAAGTGGGAGTTTAAGCCTTTGATATACATGACATGGATAATCTGTCCTTTCTGGGCATCAAGTTGCTGTACAAAATTATGTGTTTAAAGTAAAATGTCAATTCTGTATTTTTCCCTGCTATGAATGTTCTTTTTTTTTTTTATACAGGAAATCAGATTTCACGCTCTTAGGTTGCCTAAAAGCTTAAGAAACAGAGGAGTTCATTTATACATGTCTTGAATGGAAGAACTTTCTGTATTTCTAGAAGATACCAGTCAGATTAAAGTTTCTGTCGGCCAGATGTAAAAAAGACGGGCTCTACCTTTTCTCAGCATGCAGCACTAAACATGGCTGTTTTTTCACCAGATCTTGCTGAGTGGATAATCCAATTGATTTTCAGTGGCGGGATCTGGATTTTTGGTATAATTTCAGGACAGTAACAGTAGCCTGATTATGTACTTGTTGAGGGGTCACTCTAGGACACATATTTATTGTGCAGAGTCAGAGAAAAAAATCATCATTGTGGCATGTTTCTTGTGGTTTCTTGACCACTGCTAGCATTCCTTCTTGGTGAATGATTCCTCATACATTTCTTTGCACTTGGGCGTGGATTGCTTTCCTTTCCTGTAGGTTACAGACGGTTTGTGTCTGGATATCTTAGATTGGACAGACAAGGGAGTCCCAGGTGTTCAGCGGAGGACTTTCTGTAAGGTAATGCAGATGTGCGGTTCTCTGGAATGTTATGTGCTGCACCAAACATCCACAATCATAAAGAAGGACATTGTGAAAAAGGAAAAGTAGAAAGCAAATAAAATCTGGCAATAATGAATGACTAACCAAGGAAAATCTAAGCAAATATAATTACATTGAAAAGTAAACTGGCTATAAAATGCAGAATCCTGCCCCCACTGGGAAAGATTTGGGCCTTTTATAGATACAGCTTGGGGGAGACAATAAGTGATTTTTAAATTGAAAGCGGTCACGGTCTGGGGACCGGGGCACTAGGGTATGTGAGCTCCGGGGGTTGAGGAGTTGGTAGGAGTCACAGAAAGGAGGGGCATCTGGGATGTTGGTCACAGAGAGAGAGGAACTAATGGTCTGTGCGTTCTCAGGACGCACTAGAGGCGCAGAATCTAAGAAGGGCCAGGTATTCGACAGAGCCTCTAGTGGTGAGGATGATTGGCTGCTGGACACCTTCCAGGTTGTGGCCCTCTAGCGCACCCACACAGACGCAAAGGACTAGTCAAAGCACCGGGGAACTGGATACAAACAACAGGTAGGGAAGAAACTTGTAACCAAGAGGAGGAAGATAGGAACAGTAGCACATAATGAGAGAGAGAGAGAGAAAGTCACAAGCAAAAGGTGCAAAACGCACAGCAGAGTATACTGAAGAGGGTAGCTAAACCAGGACACTCTGGAAGTAGCTTAGAGGCACACCTAGGAGCAGGAAGGTGTAACGTACAAAAGCAAGCAGGAGATGTGCATTGCACATGCATACAAAGAAGCAGGATAACAGAGAGAAAAGTACATAAAGAAGCACAAAGGAATGTATGCACACAGGGGGTGTGCAGACAAGGACAAATTCAACACAGCCACAAGGTAAGAGAGGAGCACAGAAGTAAAGGGGTGACAGCAGAGCATAGGAAGATACACTGGAAGGTAAGTGACGGAACTGGAGTACAAGAAAGCAAGTAAATAGGAGGAAGCAAACAGACAAAGGCTGGAGAGGGAAAACACAGTAGAAGTGAGGCAATGAAGGCAGTATAGAGAGACTCACAGCACACAGGTGAACGCAAATAAGGTCTGCAGCAATATACTAAAGGAACCACTGAAATACTATAGTAGGGGCGCAAGGAGCAAAGCAGGGGAGAACGCCAAACAGGGATACCAGCTGGTACAGGGAACCCAAAGGCACAGGGATCCAATAGCAAGCCAAGGGATAGTTAGAGCCACAAGGGGTACGGAACAAGGCATAAGACTTGTTGCTCACACCAAGAG